TGAGATGTGTATATATATGAATCCATATAATAAAGGCATAATATTGCACTGAATCTACTAATCTGGATGTCATTTTCCAACACTCCTTACTCAGAAAATTACTTAAGTATCATCAACTGTAATATGTAAACAAAACAATGAAGGGAAGAACAAGAAAATGCATGCATATACAGAAGCCTTTTTCCCTACTTTCCTTTTCAGGACAACATAGTGAAAAGGCTTTCAGCAAATTTATTTTCTTGTTCTTGCCTTTGTTTCTTTTTTACAAATTGTTCAGAGTGAAATCTGAATTGTGTCGATTGCATGCTTAATAATCTCAAGCAAAGGTACTAAGAATTGAAAGTTTATAAAAGCCCCAATGCATAGTGGATCCTAACATCACCTTTTATATGAAAAGAAACATGCTGCAATTTGGCACATCCAGAAGGCTAAGCATGCTTATGCTTACATGTTATAATAATAAAAAATAACTTTATGCACTTGCTCACAAATAATCTGTCCCACAAGAAATTTTAACAGAATACCAGTAATATATATGACTTCATACTTAATAGTAATAATTCCTCATGCATCAAAATGAATTAATTAGGCTTTATATATCTATATAACAATAATAGACTCTCAAGAAGGGATATTCTGTTCCACTGGGAATGCTCATCATCAATACTACCATCTCATAAAAAAAAAACTGTAGTGACCTGACAAGGGGCAGGCAGGCAACACAGGAAAATGTATAAAAATGACATTCAAATTGTTAACTCATTGCTGCCACATAAGTATACAATTGTCCATAGTTTCCTTTTGTGAATTTTGTTTGCACATAAATAACTCCAAAGTACTCAGTTACCAAGGAGCCTACATGACCTCTCCTGATTTCCCCTTTCCTTGAGTTTTCAATTTTTTCCCAATGCTATTAATATTGATATCATTATCATTACTGATATTATAATTATCATAATGTCATTAATAATAATAAAAGCAATAAGAATAAAAATAAAAATCAAGGACTAGGGTAAACAGGTGAGATAGGTCAGACTAGTAACTTGCTCTCTTAGTGATTAAGTACTTGTGAGGCCATCAAAGTGCTGTGACAAATAATGGTAACTGAGGGTCATATTTGTGGAGGGTGAGGGAGAGGATGATGAAAAGAAATGAAAAGAAAAGAAAAGAAGGAGGGGGTGAGGAGAAGGAGGAGAAGGAGGTGGAGGAGGGGATGAGGAGAAGGAGGAGAAGGAGGAAAAGGAGAAGTAGAAGTAGGTAAATAGAGTGGTAAACAGAGTAAAAGGAGAGGAAGAGGAAAGAGGAAGAACCTACATTTTCATCACCATCTGTTAATTGGTAAACAAAACAGTAATTAACTGATTCAACTTACTTGTCTTTGCTTGGAACTGTTCCACATTGTCTTTTCTGTCCGTCTTCATCCACAACCCATGCTCGCCACTGACCAGGCACATTGTTAAACATAGTGTTATCTACATATAAAATGTCTTCTTTTCGAAAGCGAAGATCAGTAGAATCCCCTGCATCACCCAATCGATCAAACAATGCACGTATATAGAAGCTGTCACCAGGTTTATCCTGAATTTCTTCATATCCTGAAAGCATTGGGAATCATGAACAAATCAGATTTTAGGAGATGCTGCAACACTGACCAAACTGGATTTTTGAAAGTGAAAATTTGCATAAAAGTATAAACATTACTTCAAAAATACTATGAACAGAAACAAAACTTAATTTCACATATTTTTCACATATTGTTCTTTGAACTCACTTTGGTAATTGTACTGCACTAGCATTTTGACATTATCAGCAGGTTTTGCAAGCTCAAAGGCAGCTTGTTCAGCAGTAGCATGTCGGAGATCCACTCCATTGTACTCAAGGATGTGGTCACCGGGACGGAGCCCAGCTTTAGCTGCCGGGGAGTCTGGAGGAACAGCATGGACAAAGATCCCCAGAGCATTTCCCCCAACCATCTGTATTCCTAAATTGTGGGATTTATTAAGCTCCAAATACACCAGTCGTGGTTCTGCACTTGCATTATTAGGGCTGACTCCACTTCCTCCACTGCTTGCTCCAGGATTACTGCCTCCACTACTAACACCACCATTACTGTTACCAACACCACCATTCTCACTACGCCTGAAAATAAAATAATATAATTAATGTGAAATAATCAGGCACCAATTATTTCTAACATTAAATAACAAAAATCCAATGTCTTTATGCATAAGATAAAATTTTCATTGAAATTATAACCCACATATTGATCACACACACACACCTTGAAAATGTTTCTCTTTTAAGTGAATTCATCACATGTGCAATTTCAGGACGGGTGAGTGTGGATCTAGCAGAAGGCGACAAGGAATGATCAAGGGAATGGTCGAGAGTGTCACGAAGATCCAGTGGGCTCCGCAGAGTGGATGTCGATGACGGGGGCATGTTATCATCATCTACAGAATGGGGAGAGTCATGCGAGGTTGGTTTGGGAGAGTTGCGA